GAAGGTTCTTATTAGAAAGAAAGCATTGGTACCGTACCGACTTGGCACGCTACGATGGGAAACCTTCTAAGCCCGCCCAATGCTTACTATCCAGATTGGTTCGTTAGGCTTTGCTCCCATTCCAAATTCTCTTTAGAAATTGAGCAAGTGTATGATGTGGGTTGCGCGATAAGTCAGAATTGCACCTTTCATGCAGTGCTATCAAAATTTTCAATTTACATACTAGTATTCGAAAGATGTTGACTTCTTTGGTTCACTTTTCTCAATGTGTTTCCTTTTGCTTCCTCCCGCTTGGACATAGCGTTTTTCTTTTAATTCTTTAGAAGAATCAACTTATGCCTCAATTCATAACAAGTATAATTATATTTTATAAGGAGAGAAAACAAATGAGATGTAAAAAATATGAAATAGTCTGGTCATGAGATGGTACACGCACCAAGGGACAGGTAGAATTGTGGGGTAGAAAAAACTTGGCACGTACAGGGCCACTTGGCCATGTACAACAAGAATAATGCTTTTTTCCTATCTAGCTACTGTTTAACGTTGTCTAATCAACATTGTGAAACATGTATATAGGCACTTGAAACATCAACAATTCTTAGGGCCATTTGACACAATTTTTGAAAAAACAGATACCTACTTTTAAAACTAAGAAACTGCATTTAAACCTACAAAAATTTTTCTAATGTATTTATCTGCATGGAAGATCTTTTAAAGGAAGTTTGCTCAATGTGACTTTCTAATAAAACTCTTTACCCAAAACAGGAGTAGAAGCAGAAGCGGGATCGTGAGAAAAATCCCTGCCAAACAAACCCTTAAAAAGCTCTAAATAAAAGCACTTGTATTTGTTTTGAAAATGGTTCCTTGAACTAAGTTAACGTAAAGCAACATTTAAATGTCATTACATTGAATTTCAACATTGCTTGCTAATGCACCTATCTCAACCAACAAGCATACACGAGCAGAGATGCTGCTTACAAGAATTTTTCTGCTTTCTTCATGACCAGTTTGTAAAGAAGAACAAGAGGAATGTGAAAATCTCGACTATCTGCATTTATCAAATATTATAGTGGCGTCCTTGATGGAACTGGAACTTCAGAGCCTGTAAATGTGCCTGAATAGTTTTGACTTTCGATTACACAGGATTCATGCAGACTAATATTACACAGGACCCATGAAGAATAAATCATAAGGTAAAAAACCAGTAGCAGCAATGAAAATACTGACATGGTTTCCACTAGGACTAACCAAGATGAAATTATGCATCTCTTTGTAGTCCTTTTTAGTTGGAATATAAAATGTAAACTAAAGGCATAAGAATCTTTATTTACCAACATGCTTCACCAATAAACCTAAAAACTCGATTTCCATTGCCTATGGCTTTGTTTACGTGGTACTAAATTTAAACGACAAAATTGATGTATTGACTATGGTTATGAATGCTGATACCAAAGCATACCTGATCTCCAAAAACTTGGTCATTTTTTAGAACTCGACATGCAGGACCTCATAACAAGCATGGAGTTACTGTATTAGCTAGCTGTTGTATCTATTCTTTATGACACTAGAAATAAATGGAAGATGCCTATTGCTATCTCTTAAGGTGATAGCTCCATGTATATGAAAGATGCCAATTTTTATATCTCAAAACAAATACTCCATGTATATAAGAGCATGTTTGGATAGAGCTCATGGAGCTTATAACTACACAAAGTGAAAGTGTGGCTTATAAGATCCCAGAAGTAGGGATTCCCTTATGCTATCTCATAAGCCACACAAGTGTGGGGTCTCACACATTGTGGGCTCATAAGAAAGTTTCATAAGCTCCATCCAAACATACTCTAAAGCTGCAAAGATAGTATACCTGCAATGTTCAGCCCACAACTAATATATCTCATCGTCAGGAATTTCTGGTGTCAAAAACTTCTTAGGGTCTTTGCTGATCTCCTCATAATTAAATGTAGAAGCCTTGACCTTTTCAGGAACAGGCACAAGTGGAATAATGCTATCTCTATCAATAACCCCATCAATTATGCCGTATTCAACTGCTTCAATAGGGGACATGTAACGATCCCTATCAATATCTTTTTCGACTTGTTCAAATGAGCGACCAGTGAAATCGGATATAATTCTAGTGACATTTTTTTTGTTATGCATTACTTCTCGGGCTTGAATTTCGACATCTATTGCTTGCCCACTTGCACCCCCCATTGGCTGATGTATCATAATTCGAGCATTAGGCATTGCAAAGCGTTTGCCTTTGGTGCCACTACCAAGGATTAAGGAAGCTGTTGATGCTGAAATGCCTAGGGCAATTGTGGAGACGTCAGCTCTAACAAGTCGTACAACATCAAAGATGGCCATTGTAGCACTGATGAATAGTTCAAAGAAAATCAGTAAATCAAGAAAATATAAAAAATAGAGAAACAGGGAGTAAACACTATCTAGAAATCAGCAAACAAGCATAATGAATAGAGTCAATGATGAAAACCCCGAAAAGCAGATGCAGACACATGAATTTCACCCACGGCTTGGCTTGGAGTGCAAGCTCAGTTAGATATGAGGTCATGGATAAGATTCAAATTGAAGCACAGTTCAGTGGGCCAAAGTAAAGAAGCCTTAAATAAGAAAGCCTCACAAAGTTGAATTTCAACCAAGTGCATTCTCAATTTTCACCGACTCAAAATTTGGTTCAAAAGCAATATATGACGATCTTAGCAACCAACGTATAGCAAGAAACAACAGAACCTTCAGGCATGTTCTATCCCTTTTTCTTTTATTCTAACTGAATAGTGAGTGATTCAAGTTTCAACATAGTTGATTACAGGGGATAACACGATTACAGTAAAAGATTCAACATGACACTTTCTATATTATATTATTGTACATCTTATGGACGCTACCTGTGGAAGTTAAATCCCTCTTTCAACAGAAGATAAAGACTTGAGCTAAATATAGACATTTTCTTGACACAAATTGATTGTAAAAGCTCCAACACGGAATAATGATGAGAAATTCCTTACAAGTTAACTAGAAATAACATAGCAAGGTTATAAGCATATTTAACCTTACTACATGCCCGTTTGATTCTCATTATTGTAGAATCAGAATGAAAAATATAGCCGTTATTGGGCCTCACACAAGAGATAGAAATTCAAAATTGATGATTTGATGTGATGGATAACGGTCATATTTTTCATTTTTATGGATGAAAAATTAGAAATAAACGGAAGCTCCATTTAAGGAAACTAGGTCCCCCAGTGCAAGCTACAACTTTCACTTTTAGTCCTAGAAATTATTATCAAATTGTAATAACATACTTATGGCCATTTCTCACTTCAGCAATTCTAGGGGACTTAAAACAGATTACAGCAGCAAGTAAAATGAGCCCAGCAACAGGTATGAGCATTATAAAGTTCAACATCTCAAGCGGCTATTTTATTGAACCAATCACTTTCACCTTCTCACAACTTTTTGAAGCAAATAAATGTAAGAGGTAAACTTCTATATGGAAAACACCAAAAATTCATCAATAGACTATATAATCCCACATTATGGATATGGCCCATTCCTAGACAGCACAGCCAGCAAGTCCCGACTCAAATCAAAGATTGAAACAACCCCTCCGGCTTTAACTAAAGTTTAAGAAGTGCATGCAGCAGGCAGAGTTACCTTATAGATCTATTTGAAACATCTACTAATCAAATTTCACTAGTAACATGAACATCAATGTCTAGAAGAAGTACCGTTGATTTAAATATTGCATAATACGGTTTGTCAAAAACAATGGAGATGATGAAAATCTAAATAGAGACAATATTTAATTTAGTTTCAAATTAGATACTTATTGTAGGAAAAGCAATTAGTGTTTTATTTAATAGATTTTTTAGTATTTTTTTAGTTGTTTACATAAATAGGGTTTGATTTAGCCACTTCTTGATGGCTACTGTTTGGAAAAAAACAATGTTTTGAATAGTGAATTTTTGGAGAATGTGGGGTTAAAAAAGTAGGGAAAAGCTTTGGATTTACGTGCAGAATATTTTATTGTGTGAATGTACGGTTGAAAATAAGTATATGGAAAAAAAAACTTGAATTAAAGGCCATCAAACAGGTGTTTAATACATTTTCTAGTATATTACTACTTGAATTAAGACTAGCTAAAATTCTATATGCATTGTACTAGTTACAACTTTGATATGAAATAAACTTGATATTCTCCCTTTAAATTTTCTTTATTCTCTCCCTCTTCCTCACTCTTTCTCTCCCCTTCTTCTCTTTCTCGTCTCTCTTCCTCTTTCTTTCTCAATCTTGTTCTTTATTATATATTGTTCTATTAAATCCTACTTCAATTTGGAATCAGAGCAAGTCGTATTCCTTTGGCCAAAACAAATTCGCAAAGTTTTGATAGGTGTTCAAGTTCAAAAATTTAGCCCACGTTTGCCCCATTATTCCCTATTAAATTATAGTTCATTTTTCTCTCTTTTTATCAACCACACATTCTTTAATAAAATAATATTACACGTAAACCCAAAAACTTTTCCTTCTCTTTTAACCATACATTCTCCAAAAAACTATTATTCATCTCATTAAAAAGTGGAATAACGGGGGGCCAAAAGGGGAGCTTAGTGTCGCCATCTTAAAAAAAATCCACACCAACATTCATTCACATAATACCTAGCAACGACCTCTACCATTCTCCACATAACCACGTTCAACCAATCGTTAAATTCAGAAAATAGACCAGATTCAAACACAAGAAAAGTAAAGGGGCAGCAACAATCAATAAGAAAAAAATCAGAAAAACAAAAACATTGTTCATCATTACCGTTCACCCAAAAAAGAAAAAAAAAGTCTTTTTTTCCTCCTTTGTTACCTCCAGGACTGTCCACCAGTTAAGTAGAATTTCGGATTAGATTAGTTTTTTCATTATTGTTTTTAGTTTTCAATGAAAAAAATACAAAAAATAAATTAAAGAAAAAAGTCGGAAAAAAAAAAAATTGCTGGCATAACTTTGTCATTGTTGCTCAATTCTGATTAAGGAGCCACATTGGTGCCCTCAATTTTTCAATCGCTTCCTTTACCAACAATAGAGTATCTCATTCTAGCATGGGTGGATTGCGCATGCTTTGCAATAATTTAGACATTGCGCTGCTCCTGTTTGACTTTTGGTCAGGTATCAAATTTTGTTCTACTGGAACAATAATGTTCATTTAAGTGCTTTGCTTCTTATTTAAAACTAAAAAAAACACACACACACACACATAATCACACAAATTATGTTAGTTTTTAATTGCTAGTTTGCTTTATAAATAAACCCACAAAAAAAAATTTGCTAAAAAGAATGTTGTGACATGCCTATCAAAAGTCAGGAGACTAATTGTTACTACTGGAAAAAATCTTGTGGCATTCGCTATCTTTTAATGAACTCTTACCTTATAGTTGAACGAATTACAGATTTACTTTGACCAGTAGATCAATCACCTGTTATTTTTATGCTCACATTTCTTCCTCAACTTATCACAACATTTGTTTCTGATTAGTTATTAAAACATCCACATGTTTCTATACAGATAGCAATTGCTTCTTACCTTAGTGAAATATTTCGAATTACTGCACCCGATGCCCCATATAGTGATGAAATAATGCATGATATCACCTTTTGCGTTCCTATTTAACAAATCTACCGAATTATATGCTAAGGGAGCTAGAATACTTGAAATAATAGCTAATGTGAGGTATTTTATCATCATGTTGGATCTAGATGGTAAACAAATGATAATTGACATTTTCCAACGTTTTCTTTTAACCTTGACCTTGAGGAAAACTTATCTTGAGAATATCTTCACATCCATGAAGATGATTATAGCATTTATATTCAAAGAAAGTGACAATCTCTCTCCAGACTTGCTTACCCTCCTTTTGGATAATGTGAAAACGAAAAATAAAGAGGCATTTCCTATTGAAATGGATATGCTAGAAAGAATTTTTGAGAAGTATACTGTCAAGATCAAACCTTATTTGTCACAATCTATAAAATCTGTAGGGGTTTGTTTCAATAATTATATAGCAATTGTTTCCTCCCTTTACACAGAATATGAAAGTTTTAAGCAGTGTATTGTGTACTCTTTCATGATCAAACATGTAGTCAGTACACTTAACACTAACATAGTTGGAGAATTACTTTTGTCGTTGCCACCTAGCCAAAAATTCCATATGTTTTCGACTCCGTGCCGAAATTGTTCTTGCCTATCCCTTTGCATGACTTTAACATTGACTATGTTGTGGTGTTACCTCAACTGTATGATACGTCCCTGGTTCCCACATTGTTTTCCAAATTCATTATTTGATTGCATACCTTTCCTATCTATATTTAGTTGTGCCTACTATCATATTCATTTAGATCTGAATTGTTTTCCAAAGCCATTGCTTGATCGCATACCTTTCCCACCTACATTCAGTTGTTGCCTACTGTCATATTCATTTAGATCTGAACTTTATTACCCCTTTTTCCTAATTTTCATGCTGAGAATAAAACGTAGAATTTATTTTATTAATGAAAGTTATGGCTTGATATAGACGCACAATTTAGACATATATGCTATTACAATAATTTTTATACCTTGTTACATATTTCTGTGACGTGATTTTGAAAACATGTTAAAAGAAAAGTCTTTAGATCACTCACTTGAAATTAATCTATTTAATTGATATAACCATCACACTTAAATGAAGGTATTTTTTTAATATAGCAGAATTCTTTCCTTATTAGGACAAATTCGAGCCATCGTTGTTGCAATCATTTGTTTCTGCAAGCTAGTCTGCTGTGTTAGACCCATGTGCTCCTATTTTGTGAATCCAATTGCTGTTTTTGATTCATTGCACCATATGCTACTTTCAGGAGTTTATTTTATCAATATTTGGTTGAATTTTTTGGATAAGTAATCAGAGATCAATATTTGGTTGATCAAAAAGATCTTCCACTTGGTATGAGTTATTTCGCACGTCGCTAATTAGTGATAGTTGATCAGAACAAAAGATCAACCTCCTTGAAAAAATGAAGTTTCAGTTTATCTCGTTGGGGTTGAGTTCTCTCAATCAGGGAGAAATCATGAAAATCTTAGTAAAAATAAGTATTTAATCTAGTTGCCAAATTAGATGTTTATTTTAGGAAACCCAATTAATGTTTTATTTAATAGATTTTCTAGTATTTTATTATTTGTTTATTTTCAAATTGAATGTTTGTTTTAGAAAATATAGTTAGGGTTTGATTTAATTGATTTTTTAGTATCTTGCTACTCCAAATAGGATTAGAATAAACTATATAAAGGAGAGTTGTGTACTGTAATAGTTACAACTTTGATATGAAATAAACTTTATTTTCTTCCCTTAAATTCTATCTATTCTTTCCCTCTTCTTTTCTCTCTCTCTCCCTTTCTTCTCCTTCTCATGTCTCTTCCTCTTGCTTTCTCAATCTTGTTCTTTGTTCTATATTGTTCAGTTGTGTTCTACGTCAGGAAACTTGATAAGCACAAACACAACATACACAAATACATTAACAAAGACTAACAACTCAAGAAAGAGAAGATAAATGAAGATACAACAAAGACGTATCACCAGTTTAAAGTTTTGTTCACTTTCATAAAGTCATTCTTCAGACACTTTTTGGCGTCTCCCACCTATGTAACTTTAAGATTTTCTCAACCACAAATGTGTCATTATCTAATAGTTCCATGCTATGAAAAATCTTTTATCTCAGCAACTTAGCTATGTCCAAATCATCTGCATAGTGTTATATGTGTTCCAACTTCCATTAAGTTATTTATACGTTTCCATGTGATCATACACCACTACTAGTCAGAAACCCAAGCAGGGAAGTATATGTATATCCATACTCTAGTTTCTAACTCCCTCGAAATATTATGAGAGAAAAAAATTCCCAGAGAGAGAGTTTTCACGAAGTCAGGAAGTTAGTGTCTCCTTGTATAATGATGAAGAAATGAGTGATAACATGTGACAAAACAAAATTTGAAATATATTCATGAAATGGCTCCTCTGATGTATAGCTCAAATCTGTCCAATACATATTTTCCCAGATTCCATCACCTATGTTCTTTTCCATTGGTTACAATCTATATTTATTTTAAGTTCTAGCTGTCTAGCTCGTAGCAGACCTTTCAAGGGAAACACACCTTATTTCTCAAATACCACACCTTTCTTATTCAAAGTATTGTCCACGGATATGGACCTCCCCTTTGTAATAATAACTGTCTCCTCATCCTTGGAAACATCAGTTATTCATCCACAGAATCCTCATAATGAGGAACTGAGGGTGAAACTTTTACTAGAAGAGAATGACAGTGTGTGAAAAGGGAAACAACATACAGGTACATGCCATCCTGCAATTCCAATTTCCAAACAAACACCACATTTTCATCTCTAGAGATAAAAAAGAAGAAAAGGAAACCATCAAGATAACTACAATCTTGTCAGACTATACGAGTTTTGTTCACGAAATCGGTAACTTCAAATCATTGTTGGACAAAACCATTACAGCAACCATTCTGCTTAATCTAGAAGTCAAGGGCCTTCTACGATCACCTAGCATAACACCATTTTCCACAAGTAATGAAAATTCACCAATCTGCAAATTTGTTATAAAATATTCTAACTTAGCCCGTGTTTAACCCTACTTTCTTAAAACTTATTTTCAATTACACATTTTACGAGACCCACAACTTTCATATTACACCAGCATTTATCAAAATCTACTAAAAATCTAATTTTTATTCAAAACAAACGTGGGACATAATATGTAACGACTCAGGCTCAATGCACAAGTCGTTAACTTACGTACTGTGCGCTTTGAGATAGTCTAAATCCATCTTACCCCTCGCGAATTTCTATTACGTCCCAGGATTCGAACGTCGACCTTCCCTTTAAGAATGACTTAAGTTGAATCTTGGTACCAATTGTAACGACCCAGGCCTCGTGCCCGACCGTTCTCTTACATATTGTCTGCTTTGAGAGGCATCTGCCCTCTCACCCCTCACGATTTTCTGTCTTGTTCCCCAAGATTTGAACACATGAACTCCCCTTAAAAGAGATTTAAATTAAATCTTGATACCAATTAGACAAGTAACATTGGCCCTTCTAGGTATATGGTCAATCTTAATTTCATCAAACNTCTAATCCGATAAGCAAGGCTTCATACTCAGCTACGTTGTTCGTGCATGGTAAATTAAGCCGGTATGAATGGTGAGAAACTAGACCATTCATTAGGAGAGAGAGAAAAAAAAAAGACCTGCTCCTGCGCCACCTTGCATACTGGAGCCATCGAAATGCAATTGTCCAATTAGTATCAAAATTCAACTTAAGCTTCTCTTAAGGTAAAGTCATGTGTTTGAATCCTAGGGAACGCAACAGAAAGCCGTGAGGGTAAGATGACAGATGCCCTCCCAAAGCGGACAATATGTAAGATAACTGTCGGGTACGAGGCTTGGGTCGTTACATAATCTCTTTCACTTTAACGCCACAAAAATTTAATAGAATAAAATTTTTTGTTCTATATGCTATATTTTTATAATTTTGGTAAGTTGATAAACTGAGGTGAAATATTATTAAATTCATTTTTAATTGAGGCAAATAATCAGATTTTGATATAGCAATGATAAGTATATCAATATTGGGCTCATTTTGTAGTTCATATTAAATGATGCCTCATGGACTCATGAAATGACTATTTTGGATAAGTTAAGCACAAGTTATTGAAGTTGAAAAAAATTATATTTGATTAATAATTAAATCAGTTGGTTAAGGTTTTAAGAATTTTGGCAGCCTTGTAAGAAATATTTATCCTATTTTAAAAAGAATTTTAATCTCAATTGGATTATGACAAAGTAATATTAATCCTAAATAAACTAAGATACATTTATTTTTCACAACCCCAGTCATTCTTAATTTTTACATTTCATTTTTCTAAAATTCTATTGGAGGATTATTTGTGGAGCTAATCCAAATTATATTGATAAGTGATGGTAAATTGATTGTTGATAATCAATACAATTCTTGTAATTAATCCCAAACCCAATTTGATTAGGATAAACTTTAAGTCTAAATTAATTGGGATTCAACAATTAAACCATGTTATAAATATGCTATTAGATTAATCAAAGTTTTACATCAAAATTTCCTCCATCATATATTTTATTTCAGTAAAATGAAATCATACTATTTGTTTATTGTGAAATCAGAAAACATGAAGATAATTTGCATCCATTAGAAATTATTTTCAAAGCATAGATGTACCCATATTCACCGAGACAGAGATTTTGAGAAAATGATTTGGAACGTGCAATCATATTTTTCTTTCAAAATTCGATTGATCTATCGAAATAGGATAACGAGGTGCAAGCGATTTTATCCCGTTTAATTTGATTATTTCATGTTGATAAATGTTATGCTAATGAAAGATACGATACGATACGATATGACCATCCGGTACCAAAATATAATATATTATGAGCTCTTACCGGTTTCTAAAAATATGATATGACGGTGTGACTATTTTGATACATGAATTGATATTTTCTAGGAATTGCACAACAATCGTGTCCAACTAATTATTTCCATATACTCACAATTTTGCCTACCTCTCACAGGTTAAAACAGGTTGTTGATTGGTGGGCAATTAGGTGATGTCGTTGTGATTGGATTCATTAAAGTTAATAAAGTGAATTCGGTGTAATGTGACTAAAATTTTATTTCCAGCATTAATTTTAGTGTTATTATATGTGGATATTTTTTATTCGAAAATTGATTTACTTGGTTATAAATTTTAGTTTGTGTTTAATTATGTTGGTGGAATCAATATTTAGTTATTGTCTATTATATAAAATAAAACGGGGTGATGCACATATTTATTTAGGGGATTAGTTTTTTTTATTGGAACCTCTATAAGAAAAGTTATGATATGGAATTATTTGATTTCTTGTCAATTTTATAAATTATGGCAAGTACTGTTTGTCAAAAACTGTAGGTAATATGAATTAACTAAATTAAGAAATTAATTAAATTTCACATAAATTAGAGGAAGTTGTGTCAGAAACCAATTTTATTTTTATACTTGCCTTGGCTTTGTCTCTGACCTGTTAACCGTATCTATTTTGTAAATAAGTGCCGAATTACGTTTTAAATCATAAATTTTAGATATAAGTTTATTGGATCTTTCCAAATATATAGGAATAAGATATTATGTAGATAAATCTTTGTTCTTTCCTTTTTATTAATAAAGAGTATTAAAAACCTTGAATAAATCATCTTTACATGAATTTACAAATTAAATTTTTAAAGGAACTTTTGGTAGCTATTTAACTATTAAAAATTTGGGTCGTTACACTCATCCTCGTATTTTCAATCACCTAAACACACCATTGACAATCAAGATAATCAAAGAAACTCTTAGATGCCCTCGATACTATAAAGTATAAACCATCGTCTCAAAATATTTAAGCAATAGTTTCTTAATTAATACAGTACAAGCTACATTACTAGTATGCAAATGAAGTACCTTCTTACTAAACCTAGTTCTCTTTACTTAAATATGCTTCCATTCAACATCTCATTCAATCATTCTTAGTATATGGACAAAATTCCATCATTAATCTTCCACACCATATCTATGGTGCATGCCAATTTTCTTCAATTAAATGCAATAAATTTTGAAACCCAATACACATGATATAATTTTTTTATTTCACATATACAAGAATCAGAAAAAGAAAAATTATTTCAGTGGCTTCAACGAATTGTCGCATTACGAGTACAGAAACCCAAAATATCAGAAATATCTACTATCTACCCTACTAAAAAAAAATCAAGAATGCCCTCAATCGTTGCACTAAATTAAACAAAACAATTGATAATAAAACCTACATACCTGAGGGAGCCACCGGGGGAATTGACGAAAAGTCGAATGTCCTTAGTGGGGTCCTGGGCATCAAGCAAGAGCAGCTGGCTGATAATAGCATCAGCAAGAAAATCATCAATCTGATTTCCCAAGAAAACAATCCTCTCCTTGAGCAACAAACCCATGGCGTCAGTCTCGGCGCCGCGGATTGCGGTGGCAGGAGTCTGCGGTGCCGACGCAGAGAGGTGGAGCAAAAGCGAGTCCCCAGATTGAGCACTTGAATTTTGAGTTGAATAAGTGGGTAGGTGAGAATTAAGGGAGTATTTGAGGGGTAACGTTGGGAGTTTTCTGGGTGGTTGGAAAGAGAATGTGTGTGGCCGCTTAGAGAGAGAGTGGAATTGGTTGAATAGAGGTGAATGCTGAGAGAGTGGAGTGGAGAGGGTAACTGCGTCCATGGAGGGTGAGCGAGAGAGAGAGAGGTGTGTTCTTTTGGGAAGGGATTTAGGATATTCTAACTGAAATGACGTACATATGCGAACCGGATCGGATAGCGACCACCTTCAGCCCACTATAGGGTTGTCAAATAGGCCCATCGATTCAGCCAGCTCCGGCCCGGAAAAAGCCCAAGCTGGCTCGATGGACCCGAGCCAAGGCTTGGAGTCTTGGACCAAGCTCAAATTTCGAGCAACAATCCAAGCCTAGGTCGGCCCATGCAGTTCGTCGAGCTACACATATCAGCCCGTGCAACTGGCAAAAAATGGTTTGTATGCAGAGCACGGCTTAAGTGATCATTTGCTACTAATAAAATATGTAGATGGAACTCAACATACCTTATGTTATAGTCGTGTGAAAAATATGATAAGATCATTTCACTATATTATAATGGTAGACATACTTATGGACCAAAACATAATTGAGAAAATTGAGAATGGTCCATTACATTTTGCGTGAATAGATTATTAAAACCTCTTTTTAATGCCATAAACGCCTGCAGCGGTATTTATTTCCCTACATCTTCACTTGTTCTATAACACTTATCTATATTGCACAAACATTTAATAAATAAGAGTTTGCCAATTTTTGTTTATGTATTCTTGTCTATGGAGTTAAAATTTCACAAATATTGAGAAGAGTTACCCTTTATATTTATTTTAGCATCGACGATGAACCCTCGAGTTCATTTAACTTGCACTAAAACTATTATAAAGGGGATTTTAAATTACTCGAATGTGAAATTATCACATGTAAATGTAGAATTTTTGTTATGTAAAATGTGTAAATATTATGTTGAAAAGGAGGTCAGAGCAGTTCTAGTTCTCAAAGTACATTTTTCAAGAAGTATGGTTTATGAAATTTTTTAAACTCCAATACAAGTGCTCCATCATTTGGTTCTAGTTCATCCATCTCTAGAGCCATAGATATTAGTGGTACAAATTTTGAAATGCCCTCTAAGTTATCTAGGTATATGTGTATAGATGTTCATAGTGTGTTGCAATTACAATAAATAGAGAATTATGTGCTTCTATCATGGTGAAGGTGTAACGAAAGTCAATATCTAATGTATCAAAAGTTGCATGTAATCTACTAACACATCTGATATCTACGGTAGCATCGGAGGCTACATTTAGTCCATTTTTTATAACCATTTTTATAAACATTTTTTTCCTACATATTCATTTTCAATCACACATTCACAAAATAAAATATTTTACACGTAAACCCAAAATTCTTCCTACTTGTTAATTGTATATTTTTCTAAAAATCATTATTCGTAACTTCATTTTCCATAAAAAATGGTTGTCGAACTGGGGCTTAGTTTAGATGATAGAATTTTGTCATACGAACAATCAAGACTAAAAAAGAGATATTGGAAGTTCTAATATAATTGAACGATTGGGAATGTGTAGAATTACGTTTTTAAAAAAAATTGAAGGAGTTGCAGCGGATCCAATGATAGGATATTATAAGTTTTTAAATTCATTTGTTGATTTAATTATGTAATTTTTAAAATCATTTGTTTTAAAAAAATTATACAAGAAATATTTTATTTCTATATAATTTTAATTTCGTCTACGTTGATTGTAATCGGCCTCAAACCCCAAAAAATGAGGGGGATTATAACTTTTATTTAATCTACAATTAGTATAAATTACACAAAATTTACATTGTTGAAAAGAAATTTGAATTTCACGAATTTAAAAAAAATGTGAGTTGGCTCGGTGAAGCCTAAGCCAAGCCACAAATTTTGGTTGAGCATTGGCTCAACTCGGACAAAAAACCCTTGCCTTTTTCTTGTCAGGCCATGCATGAGCCGCAAGTTTCGACTCGCGAGCCGACTCGGTCTAACTCGTTGACAACCCTAGCCCACTTCTTTATAAATCGATTTGGGACTTAAAAAATTATGTTATTTTTGTCACTAGGTGATTTATTGACCACAAAACATCTCGAAATTTTATAGAATAAAATTATTTAATGATAAGGATTTTTTACCTAGATGCCTTTTAATAATTTTGAAAAAAAAAATTGAGGGACTAAAGTGAAATAAGTATTAATTCCTTTCATTTGGGCCAAATTATTTGATATAACAAGCTCTAATATGATATGTGGAAATTACATTAAACCAGCT